AAAACCCCAAAACCCCAAAACCCCATAACTCAAAATATACTTGTAATTTAAGTACAGAAATGTATAGAATTATAAAGGAATCAATTACAGTGGTATGAAATCTTTTTTCCAATTTATCTTAATAATCCTTAATTGATTTGAATAAATAATGGACCCAGTTTTAACTACTGATAAAAATCTTATTATGCCATAACAATACTTGGTGAGTAAAGGGTACTCCTGTAGGATATGTATGGAATCAAACTAAGACTATAGAAATCGCTTAATCAAACCCTGTCTTTGTTCTGGGTCAATTGCAAATGTTCACTAAAAATGCCTCAAGAAGTGGATAAAATATAAATCAATTAAGCAATGCGAGGTGTGCAGAAAGCCTTTCGAATAAATTCTGGAGTAGAGGAATTTTAGATCTCTCTTAGAGAGGTTGAAGAAAGTTTTCATGCGCTACTATGGGTTGTTACTAGTAATTGCTATTCAAGTTACTTTATGGAAGCTCTTTTTTGGATCAGTAGAATCAATATTCAAAATGATGTTCAACTAGAGCCAATAGCTTTTCACGATATTTTAAACCATTGCACAAATGATCGCAATACTATTTACAATAACATGCCACCTACATATTATAATGCTCTACTATGAACAGTAGTAACATCAATTCATGGGTATAATCTAGAGTATACCTTATAGGAAGGTGTACGTGAGTATAGAGAAATAATGCAAGTAAAATAAGAATCAGTAGGATCTCTAAGGAAAACTTAATTAATCAATAGATGATTGAATTAGGAATCAATCAGCTTCTAATTTATGCACAAAAATTTCAATAAATTCTTGAGTAAAATTGGTTTAACTTTCTCAATAATTTAATGAGAACTAGTATGTATACCATTTGTAGTATTAAATCTATCTATATTAATCTTGAACCTTAGTATATGATTTCTAAATATTCCAAATTTTTCATTCTAGAAACCTTAATTTTGAAATTCATCAGTATTTGGTGGTGGGGTTTTGGGGTTTTGGGGTTTTGGGGTTTTGGGG